AAATGGAATAATGGGAAATGACTTTTAAACATTAATTCAAATTAGCTTTTAAATCCAAGAGAGAGAGAGAGAGACGGGGGGTTGAGGGAGAGAGAGGGTATTAATAGTAGTAAACTGAAATAGAAAAGATGAAGTAAACATTATAACTCTTTTAGAGATAGACTATATGAATACAATAATATATGTAATGTATTCAACTTTTGTTTCTCGTTTCAATAAAGGTTAAGACTTACTGACTGTTACATTTTTGTCAGGTCAAAACACTTAATGGATATGAGTCTAGTTTTAATAATGATTGAATTGTCTACTGATTTGTGTACGTGTAAGGGCAAGATGGGTAGTAGTGGTGAAGTGCGTAAAGTTTATCACTTACATTTGGCTATCATATAAATATCAATAATTCAAATGTGTTCTAAAACAGGTGATAACGAAATATATATATATATATAAGTCAATCTAGAAATTATACAGATGAAAACACTCATGAAGGAAATCTTCATTTATAAGTTGATTTTTTATTATGACGCTATTGAACTGTGGTACTTGAATTCATTTAACTGATAAACAAATGGAATACTTTATATGAATATTTGTTAAGATTTCAATGAATAGTTCTGTATAAAAAGGTGTTTTGTGGAGATTTTTAGTAATTGGGTTCGAATCCTGCGAGATGGGGTCATGGGTGCACACTGATGAGGAGTCTCACAATAGGATGAAACGGTCGTCCAGTGCTTCCAGGTTTTCCATGGTGATCTAGCTTCACATTGACTCATGATCACAACTATTGAAGTTGTGAATAAACTGATTCCTTGTTTCAACATTATAAGGTTTAAACTGGATAGATGATGAAAGACACTAGAAAACATTGAGATCAATATATGATCCACTGTATGATATTATAAATTGAGATCCTATCAGTAGCCCATGACAAATGTGAGGAAGTCACAGGTATTTGTAGTTTGACAACACTTTAACCAGTAACACCTTCTAATGTGAATCGTACCCACCTAGTGAAATCAAAAGTCAGAAGTGAGGAGGTTTGAAGATATATTTGATAGTTTATCAACATATCAGGAAGCGACTGATATAAATTGGCTAGTGGTTGCAGGAGAATTTGAGCACGGCGTTCCCACTTGTAATCTGATGCGGATTCGCCTTCAGCTGGATGAGTCCATTAAAACTAATATGGTCAACATCAAATATCGAAGAATTACAGAGGTATTGGTTTTGGTGGTTTATACGAAAATTATATCGAATTTTACTTATCATAAAATATTAATGATCTGTTTATTCTTGTATCCATTACTGAAAGATTTTTAAGAAATCTATGCTAACCTATTGAAAGCTCTTTATGTGAACACTAATGGTGAAATTTCATCAGAACGAGCTCTTTACAGTAACTTTTACCAGGAAATATTACGCTCTCAGTATTCAGTTAATTTTATCACAGAAATTATTTTATAGATGCCGTTACTGGTGTTTGAGTGTTCAAACATTATTAACCTTTTATCAAGAGATTCATTTATCGAATTGGAATACCCATCTAATAAAGTTCTGGGTAATGAAGATGCTGACAAATTCAAAATCCTATCATTACATTTATCAAAATTCCAAGGATTTTAGAAAGAGTCTCTCCTAGTTCTCTCAAAGTGCAAAACGTTCTTCCATGTTCAGTCTAAATCAATGCATACATTAATGATAAAATGTCAAATAGTTGAGGTCGTTGACCACTTCGTTTTTCTTAAGAGTCTCTTCAGCACCAGTGGGTTGGTATCTAACGTTAACCTGATACAGATTTTAAAATCTTGTTTAGTTATTAGTAACCCTTAACACTTGTGGAGTAGTCGAGACTTTCATCTACAAACCAAAGGGTGAGTATATTGCATAAAAGCCCACTCTATATTACTTAATCGAAGTGAAACACGGTTTATTAAAAATAGACAACAACATCCATATGTTATAAATTCTTCTATTACGGGTGTTTGAAAAGTATTCCTCACCACACGGTATGAATAATAGTAAAATACTAGACAAAGTAGACAAACCAGTTAACGGAATAGTGAATCTTTATCAAATAAGACGTTTTCAAGATCACCATCTACTTCAACATACAATTTTCGTTGGAATAGGATTAGTTTTTTTTAAGAAAATTCAATGCAATCATATCAACATGTAGCCGAAGTCCATCATATAAAATGAACTGCGTTGCTAGACACTGATAACCTGATTTAGTACTACAAGGTAACCGTGATCATTGATTAACACATTTAATGATATAGTTGAGAATCGGTCACAATGACATAGATATCTCCCCTTAACCTTGAATTTCAGTATTACCTAATACATCCTATTCTTCACCGGTTAAGATCATGAGTCAGTTGAAGTTAGACTACCATGGAAAACCTCGAGGCATTGGACGGTCGTTTCGTCCCATTGTGGGACTCCTCAGCAGTGCGCATCCACGACCTCACCCCCTGCGGGATTCGAACCCAGGACCTACTGGTTTCGCGCGCGAGCACTTAACCACTAGACCACTGAGCCGGCATCCAACGGTGGTAATGTCTAACTTCAACTAATCCACGAAAAGTAATTAAAAGTTGTAATAGTAATAGTTGTTGTTGTTACATTTCACAATATATTGGAAACTTAATTTCAGTTTTGAGAAATAGTTTTCATCTTTATAAGACATTAAAAACAAAAGAACATTGAAATACAAACAAAAATTATTATCTATTACACAAGTTTATTTTTTGGATGCAAAAGAAACATTTTTCGTTGTTCATATATATATATGCATGTAGGTATGTATGTAGTGTGTGTGTGTGTGCTCATATGTCTGTGTATCGTTAGTCATAGTAACAGTAATAATAGTAATAGTAATCATAGTAACATGTCTGATAATTTTACATAATTTTTTTTGTGTGATTTAAGAGAGAAAAACATAAAAATAATATATATGTATGTATATATGGCAACAGTAAACTTCGATTATTCAATCAAAGAATAAAAATTCAACCAATAAACATTCCTTTTCTTATATCCAAATTATTATTCACAATAGTACCAGTAACAACACATTACTAGTAGTAGTAGTAGTAGAAGTAGTAACATTAAAAAGTATCGTTTTTTTTGTGCACTTGAGTACACTGATTCTGTGTACAGAAAATTTAAAAGGGAGGGGGGAGGAAATTTAAAGATGTGTTAGATGAGAAGTAGATGGGAGTCCCAGTGATAATAATAATAATTTTGTAATTACATTATCTTCAAACAATCATGGTAGTGAGGAAGAGTTTACCAACAATGATACAACAAAGTATTAATGTATATGTATATATATATATATAACCACTGAATATATTGTTAATAGTGCAAAATACGCAATTGTTCTCTAAGGAGCATATTTGAACTTACTGGAAATTTGAATCAAAAACAACTATGAATATCTTATGTATAATAGAGATCATTTGGTATTTCATCAGAAAAGTTATTGTTCCATAGGTGGACAGTAATAGTTTACAGGTGTATGAATATAAATAATGGAGACCGAAAGAAAGTGAAAGAGAATAGGGAAAGATTCATACCTATTAGTGTATCGTAAATATTTCACAAATAATTAGAAATGAACATAATAATAATGATAATGATTCGCATTATTTTGGCATATACATACGCTGTACTTATATAGCAGTTCTGTTTTTAAAGAAAAAGTCAACGAAAGCGGTTGGGATGATGATGGTGATGGTGAGGCAATCAATGGATGATTCAATATTGAACTACGAAGCTGATGATTAGCTTGTTAGATTCGTATTTATTCGTTTAATTCATTGAAGTTAACACTCTCATTCATATATTACATAACTAATGACAATTTGAATATTACAAATATTATTAACATTGTTGTAATAGAATGGATATCGTTATTACTATTAGTGCTTTTATTATTAATGTTACTATTATTATTACTAGTATTATGGTCATTATTGTAAAAATAGAATTACTGAGAGCACTAAACAACAAAACAAGAGAGAAAAAAGTACAAACAAATCAAAAAAATGAAGGAAATTACGCAACATTGATTGTGCTAATGACAAGATAGTGAGTTGGTTAGACAAACAGATAGATGGTAAGTAGTTATGTGGCTAGGTAGGTAGGTAGGTACATAGATTAGTAGTATAATGAAAACCTCAAATTATCAATCAATAAGTGACTAGGTCAAGAATAGTGATGGGGGTGGGTGGGCGGATGTTATTACTGTTGTGGTGGTGGTGACAATGAAAATACGCATCGGATATTATCTTATATAGAGGAATATACACGATGTAAATGAGTTTCCATTTTGTTCCATTCCTAGACAAACAATCCTTTCAAAAAATTAACATCAATACCATTTTTTTTTTTAGTAAGTCATAGTGTTTATCATTGAAGAATAAATTAAACAGGAAAGTAAATCAAGAATAGATAGAAAATAAGCTGCCTAGAAACAAACAGATTAAGAGAGATGAGTGGGACACTAGAAAACTTATGTCACACACCAACTTGTTACAAATATCATTTCTTGACCCTTTTGAAGCATAAAGAAATGAAGTAAACTGAGAGTAATTGACTTCAGTAATATATTTGTACAACAGTAAATATAGTCAAATTATATTCACGAATATGTCTTCTCCATTGGATATTATGATTATGATCATTGATTTGTGTATTTCACAAGAGTGAAGAGAATGTTATTCTATTTGTAAATATATATATATAGATATATGGATGAATATTTTAACTAGTTAGAAAAAAAGAAGTCTATCACTGTGTTTTATTGTAGGGAAGATGGGGGAGGACATGGATCCACCGGGGTTTAATAGATGGTGCGTAAAATTTATAGAAAGTTCTTATACATATATATTCATAATCAAATAATTATTTCCTGATCAGTAGATCTGTTTCCATCTGCTTTTCTGTATAGAGTTGTAAATGTACAAATTTGCAGTGCATATATATATATAATGTTAACCTGCATGGATATCTTGTAATGATGGTTGGGGTATTGTGTCTTGTCCACCAACGGAAGGTAAGAACCCACCACTACTATGATGATGATGTGAGTGATGATGATGACCAGTTACATGATTTGTATGATGATTATAATTTGATAAATTTAAATTTGTATGTCTATTCAACACTGGGAATGATGATGGTGAGGATGATGATGATGTTGGTGAACCAGCAGTAGGATTATTTATTGAATGTTGTAAATGTGCAGATGGAATGTTATTCATTACATTATTAGGTCCATTAAAAATCGAATTATCATTGTGTGTTGGAGATAATGGTGTCGGATGACCAGATGACATAGAATGACCGTTACTCATTCCTCTATAATTAGGTGAATTATAACCTGTAGTGGATAGAGACAGTGTAGAATTATTACTTAAATTAGGATTATGATTATTGTTAGTAGTAGTGGCAGTAGTTGTATTAGTTGCTGGATAATTACGTTTCAAACTTTGTTGTTGTTGTTGCTGTAAGGCGAGTGCTGCCGCGTACTGAGCAACAGCTAAAGTTGCCTTTTGCATACTATCCACATCAGCAGCTGTACGCATTTTCGACTCATTTGCTGTATAATTATAATTATTATTATTGTCCGAAATGTTGTTACTATTATGGGAATTTTGAAACAAACCAAACTGTCCAGGGAATTGATTAGAATGTCTTCCAGACATATGATTAGGAGTGTTCGACGGTGGAGTTGGTGAAGGAGTAGAATAAGGACCATAGGGAAGATGACCACCTAATATTGGTGGATAAGCACCTACACCCCCAACACCATTTCCAGAATTAGGGAATAACCCACCACCACCACGCTGATAGTTATTTGGATTTGAGAAATCAGAGTCTGGTAGACTACCACCGCCTAAATAATTTGACATATATCCTCCCCCACCAGGAAGATTGGGACGTCCAGAATTTAAATGACCGTCTAGATCACCAGCTGACGCGTTATTTCCAACTGCAGCGGCTGCAGCTGCCGCATAGAACTCTTCAGGACGAAGAGATGATGGGTGAAAGCCTAAAGGAAACAATTATTTTCAGAAAAAAAAAACAGAAAATAGATTAAAGTTATGATGAAATAATAAAGAAAAAAGTACTGTATGAGCCATTAATAACAAATGTAGGTTTCTAGTGAAAATAAATACGTTTCGCTAGATCTCAAATAAATTTTTATTGATGACTAATGGATTGATGTATACTCCTATTATTGTGGACTAATCATCAGTCTGGAACAATACATAACCTATGCTTGAGTACTGACGTAACAAGTTAATTAGTCAGTTGATCATCAGCAATGTAAGAACTTGACACATATGTGCATTGATTCAATTTACCACATCATAGGAGGACACTTAGAAGAATTTATCAAGACAAATACCAAAGCGGTAGAGAAGTCAAAGAGTGAATATATCAGAAATGGTTTGGGGAGATTTTAGAAATTTCACAGAATGAAATCATGAGTCAATTGAAGCTAGACCACCATGGAAAACTATGAGTTACAATGAAATTACTTTGAAACTTAAGATACACTTTGCCAATATTGAATCACTAACACAAAAGCTACGTTATATATGAAGTTACTTGTCGATCAATTACTCACTTACTCCGTCTCTCTCTCTCTCTGTTGCTTCCCATTTTCATACTCAAAATAAAAATACTTCCTCTGAAAAATCTATGACTACTTATTGATTAATTCTCACCTCCCTCCCTCCCTCTCTCTCTCTTTTACTTATCCTTACTATTGATAATGATTTATATATTGTCAAATGACAAAAATAAAGAGAAATTAGAGTGAGTCATGAATGAAAGAAGACAAATAGAAGTAAATAAATAGACAATAATAACAACAACAATAACAACAACAAAAAGGAGGTATTAACCCATCTATGAAAGTCAATTCATATGATTATTACCATTATTAATAGTATTATTATTATTACCATTATTATTACTCGTCTTCTGTTACTCACAGCAAAGAGATATAAGAAGCATTAATAATAAACATTATTAGTCATATAAATCATAATTCATTTATTTGATCAGCGATTATCTGTATGTATGTGTATCTGTATATGTATGGGTATGTTTATAGAGGTATAATTTTGCATACAATTGTATACAGAGACACCCCTGACATGGATGAGAGATACATACAATACATCTATCTTCATTTAATGATGATAGTTTAATCATTAAACCTTTAATGTTCATTCCGTTTACATTAGTTTTAATAAATAAATAAATAAAAATGGATTTTTTTTTCAATTAAATGTAGAATCATTACTACTATCAAAATAGTAATAGTAGTAGTATCACAATGGCTTTTAAACAGATTGAAAAATGAAAGAAGGACAATATGGATTCCATTTTATCTGTATCATGTCAACATAGGTTAATATGCCGGTATGTGTGTGAGAGGGAGTGTGTGTGTGTTGTGTATGGGTTTGTACGAGCTAAATATATCATTTCCAGATAAAAATAAAAAGTGACTTGTCTTTTGAAGAAGTTGATTCATATTGATGAAAAAGTAATATACATGGGGCATTACGAGATATCATCCCTTACTATAGCATGGTCGCTATGACTTTCTACCAGTAATACTATATATACAGATTTTGTGTCCAGTCAAATGTCACCTTGTTGGTATATACAGTTGATGAGTCAATTAAAAGTGAAGTAGGACGAAACCTCCATATAAAAAAATAGTATTGACTTTCAATCATATAATCGATCTCATGAGAAAAGTTAAAAATATCAACCATCGGATATTCAGTTTATAGTCATCTGTATATTAAAATATTCACTGTTAATTCTTAAGTTTCTGAGTTGGATTTGTATAAGAACACAATTGAAAATGAACAACAATTAGTTGAAGTTAGACATTAACACCGTTGGATGCCGACCGGCTTAGTGGTCTAGTTGGTTAAGCGCCTGGCGCGAAACCGATAGGTCCTCGGTTCGAAGCCCGTGAGGTGGGTTCGTGGATGCACACTGCTAAGGAGTCCCACAATAGGACGAAACGGCCGTCCAGTGCTTTTAGGTTTTCCATGGTGGTCTAGCTTCAATTGACTCATGATCTCAACTGTTGAAATGACTACAATCTCCACAAAACCCCTTCTTATATATTTCTTGATTTATAACGATTTTCTAGCTTGGCTCTGATGGTAGATATGAGATGAATAATTTCAATAAATCGCTTATATTGATAGCATCAATTCAACACTGAATAGCTAGTAACTTATAAGTATTGCTTAATAGTTTTTCTCCAAAATATCATATTCATTAATCGAATGAATTGGTGTATGATCAAGTTGGAAATACAATCGAGAATATTGGTGATTTAATGAGTTCATCAAAGAACATTAGGATAATTATTCGATAATCAAGTGATTGATATACCACGTCATTCGTAGGTTTTAGAGTAGAACATAGATGATATTTAAGTAATCCCTGAGCGGTGGCCTATTGGTTAAGGTGTTTAACTTTCAGTCATTAATTCCACTACACTCCATTTATTTCTGTTTGGACAACCGGGCAGTATTATTAGTCCTATCACCTAATGTATGGTTCTTAACCAAGTACATGATGAGTGATTTAGTTTAATTCTTATTAATGATCTCGATTCAGTAGAAGAACTGGTAGATCCTCTTTTTCAAATAGTACCAACAAACTACACAATAAACTTACATAGTTACTAAAACCCAAACGATGGTTAGCAATGAACACATGTTTGATTTTAGTTATATAGTCTGTAAAACTATGTGGATTCTTTATCGTCTTACACAGAGTCGGACCTAGAACATTCAGGCCCGCTAATGTGTAAGTAAGTTTTCAGTGATTCACATTTTTCCAGTACTATGAATCACATAACGCGATCATCATCATCCGAATAACAGTTAAATATACAGGTGTTTACCAGTGTTGTAAATATTTCCATTGGCTTATGAAATGTTACCACAGCATGAATGAAAAATAAATTTAAATCAAATAATCGCCATAAAATTCCTATCCTAATAAATATATATTAAATTTGATCCATTTTATGTTACTACCCACCTGGACGACCATAGGCAGCAAAATGTTGATTATCCATATAAGGTAAGCATCCTGCAGCATCGGGTGGATAGCCATGTGGTCCTATTAATTTGTAATTAATGAAATTTAATAAATGTATGTATAATTAGAGGACACTAGCAATAATAATAATAATAATAATAATAATAATAATAATAATAATTGCACAATAAGTAATAATGAATAGGTAGTCTTATTGGAATATATATATATATATGATGTGAAAGGGGGAACATCGTTTCTTTAGATCCACTCTAATGTGTCACAGTATCAATAAATACATAGCAATATGCACAATCCTTACATGTACAAAATACATTGTGGCTAGACACATACTGGATACAAACAAATGACCAGGCAACGAAAAATTAAAAAAATTTAACTGATGATCAAATTACATAATTAAAAATAGATAAGAAATTAATTTTTTTTAATAATCTCAGTCAAGCTAATGTTATTCCAGTCTACAATAACACAAAGAACTAAATGTAAGAAGGAAATCAGTGAACCATATCTTAAATTGGACATTAGCAATTGTTTTATAGCATTTTAATGATTGGTGGCTCATTTTAAGACTATGGTTCTATTCGTCTATTTCCCTCTGTGCACGCACGTGTGTGTGTGTATATAAACAAGCATTTATAAACAATTATGTCCACAATATACTCAATGTCCGTTAGTCGAATACCATCAGTAATAACCTGCTATATGAGAGAACAAACGAGCTTCTTGATGAAGAGGAAATTAGGAAAAGACGACAGAGGTGAATATGACATACATTAAAGAAATCATCAAACTACATAATGAGACGAGTGCTAACTTGGATTCCTGAAGGGAAACGGAAAAGAGGAAGGCCAAAACACACACTGAGTCGAGAATTGGAAGCAGATAGCAAAAAGATGAATAGCAGCTGGAAAGGATTGCCCAGGACATAGTTGGATAGAGAATGCTAGTTGGTGGCCCATGCTCCTCGATGAGGAGTAACAGGCGTAAGTAAGTAACCAAGACATAAGAAACTAACTAGAAGAATTTTCTATCTCAAAACTTCTTTTATATTTTCTCTGATTTTTAACCCTCTGGTCACGTAACTTATAGGGTGTGAATTTGATCGCTATTAGTATCAATGACATATAATACCAAGAACATTCATATTAGGTCGAAATCATTGTCCAAGTCTCCCTAATTTTCAATATTACTCCCCTTACTGATGTTACTCTATGATAAATGTGGCCTATAAATTAAATCTGTCTTTATAAAACTATCCCCAAATTCACTGAATGCTCAATAAACTTAAAGATTAATTGAATAACTGAAGACTATCACGATATTCACGTTCAGTATGTCTTATGTTCATGCACGTAAACATATTTATTGTAAGTGAAAATAGACCTTTTTTCCTCGGTAAGTTATTTAACATTTGAATTCCATGCAATTAGAGTGAACTATTTTACTAACAATCCGGTTTCTGTGAATAATTAAATATAACCATAATATAGAATTTAATCAGAAGTGATATCAAAGTAACGTTATGAATTTATAGCTACTTTTTCAGCCAATCAACAGGGAGTTAGTATAAATTGAGAGTCAATGAAACCGATTAGAGTATGAATAGTTTGGAGAGTAAAGAACTAATTATTTCAAATATCATTTCCTTTATAGTAAGAGGACAATATACAATCATCACATTGGCATATTTATTAAACTTAATTAGCAGTTGAATCCACCATTCAATTTAAGTTAGACCACCATTGAACATCTGGAAGCATTGGATGGCCGTTTCGTCCAAGTATGGGACTCCTCAGCGGTATGGGACCGTGAATGCACATTGCTGAGGAGTCCTATATTGGGACGAAACAGCCTTCCAGTGCTTCCTGGTTTTTAATGGTGGTTTAAAATCAATCCATTCATGATGTCAATCTAAACTCAAAAATCTCCACAACCCTATACTGATAAAACATTCTAATCAAGTAGTGTACAGTACTTACCGGCTCTATTTGATTGATCAATCATTGGTTGAACAATACGTCGTCGAGCATTAATAAACCTATTTAGAGAAAAAAACACGTAGAAACCAAATAAGTATTTTTCAATAACTTTGTCAACTCATAGTTATCATGGTACAACCGACAAAATAAATCAAGTATAAATAAGTACTTAATAGTCTTGACTATGCAATGCTGTGATTAGATACATATCAGAATAAACTGAATGGTCGATTTTCAATTAACCTACTATTTTGTAGCTTCTCCCAACCTACTTCTATATCGTGAAGTATTGAGGAGTTCGAGTAAGAAGTCGCGCAGCACCTATACCTGGAAATCGACATTAAAATTACATCTTTTATCAACCAGAGATCAAACATAAAATCTTTCAAGGCTTTCACAGGGTCCTTAACCGTGAACCAACTGAGTTGGTATCAGATGGCTTATATTTATGACTTCGAATAATTATCAGTAATATATAACAATCTTCCAATGGGATTGGTGGAAATTGGCTTCATACTTGTCATAGTTGTGTCCTCTTCGTCACCGCTTCACGCTAGAGATTTGAGAATCGCCTTTCAAAATTAGTCAATAGAAAATGAATTATCTTTAGTTCAATCCCCAGTGGGTTTTTAAGTGTGCACTGGGACTAAACAGCTATCCAGTACATCTTGGTTTCCAATGGTTGTCTAATTAAGGTCAGTCTGTGATATAAATGAACTATCAATTAGAATTAGTTATTTCCCTATTTGTACCTTTTTTTTTCTAGAATTACTGATTATCAGCCTCCTTATCTTTTTCATCACAAATAAATTCATATGGCTTTTATTCACTCTCCGCCCTCTTCTTTCTCTACAGTCTCTCCTCAAACATTTCATTATTGTTATCTTAATTCTTTGTTCTTTTTTTTGTTGAAAAATTGCCTCATTTTCCATTTCTTTAATTATTTTAAATAACAAAAATTAATCCTCAAAGTCAGGAAATATTTTAAATTTTAAAAGAGACCATATTATCCACCTTTTTATTGTTGCTATCCCCTCAAGATGTGAACAAAAGGGGTGGGTGGGGGATAGATGAAAGAAAATTTAAACAGAGTAAATAAACATTAAATCAATTGAGAAACGAAGGGGTTTTAATCTCTTTTTTTTTGTTATTATTATTATGCAATAACAGTTATTCATATTTATTATATTATTGTTAGTCCTAGAAATACTACTTATATATACATATATGTCATTCTATTGCCTAAAGGCTGAATATGATTCCTTTTTAGAATTTAGGTTATTTACATATACAAACAAAATAATATCTGTACTAGATACTGAAAAAAGTCTTAGACAAATGTAAATAAATATGAAATGAGAAATATTAGCATAATGATTAATACTAATGATAGATACAATATTGTTATTGTATTCCCTTTTAAATAAACAATCTGTTTTATTTTTTTAAAACTAATAATCATTTTAATAGCTGAGATCATGAGTTAATTGAAGTTAGATTACCATGGGAAACCTGGAAGCACTGGATGGTTGTTTCGTCCCATTGTGGGATTCCTCAGAAGTATATATCCACAATCCAGCCACGCGAGATTCGAACCCAGGACCTATCGGTCTCACGCGTGAGGGCTTAACCACTAGACCACTGAGCTGGTCGGCATCCAACAGTGTAAATATCTAACTGCAACTAATCCACGAATTTGAGCCACTATCCAACATTGTCATCAGTGAGTTACTAACTCACAATTGACCCGGTTGAACTCCATTAGTTAGGACTTCTCACCAGAACTCCAGGAAATGCCTCTTGAAGTCAGTCACTAGTGAGCATATGATTAACATACTTCCTATGAAATTCAAACTTAAATCATATTAAAGATTAAGTTAGAATCACTTTGCTGATAAGTGTCAACTAATATGAAAACTTAACGAAGGAATTCTTATAGATTAACACTATTTAATCATCCTAACGTTAATAAATAATGCTCTGACATGTCAAGTCATTTAAACTAGTAATCAGATAGAGTTCTTTCAGCAGTATTATCAATCAAAAAGACACGTGTAAGGTCAAGGAAATAACAATGAACTTTAGTTGAATCAGTCTGGTCAGCTAGACGTTTTTCGACATGGAAAATATGGTCACTAGACGTTGAATTGTTCATAGTAATTCATCAAACTCAAGGATGATTAATACTAATTAATCAATAGATGAAATGGAAGAAGTACTTGCAGAATCTTTATTAATTTTGTCCTTGTTTCCACCTTATTCTATTTACATTTAAGTAAGAAACTTTTGGTAAAAATTCAACTGTTTCCAAAGTAAGTTATTAAAGCAAAACAGCCTGGCTACTAGGTGGAGTGAGTGAGACTAGATAGTTATTTAATGGTGTAGCTTCCGAGTAAGACTACATAAGTTAAACAGTAACACTGTCCCAGTTCAACACAATTTGATTGAAATTATTAGTTCGATAAGATAAACAAGTTCAGTGTGTCAAACACAAATTGAAATTTTTACAACAACTCAGAGATCAATGAACTTAGATATATCGCTTTCTTTGTTGGAAACTAGCAAAAAATGGATTCAATCGATTCTACACACATTCATATGAGCACAAAACACATATACATATACGATTGCTTACCAGTTATTTACTTGTAGAATTGTTAAACCAGTATCTGTAGCTAATTGCTTTTTTTGTTCTTCCGATGGATAAGGATGCTAGTTTTAGAAGAAAACATTTTTAGAAAACAATTTACGTTTAATAATGATGATCACCAATAAAGTTATTTTCTAAAACAAAAAGGAAAGTACGGATTCTCAATTTATAAATCTCCCTAATGGAAGACCAAATGAGTACTGAATATGGTTACTTTATTTTATTATAAGGTACCTCAGATCTTACGTAATCTCTATACTGCGGTAAGTACAACATCATTTAAATCCAATAATTTGTGCCTGATGAAATAAAAAAGACAATTATTCAATATCATTATCAGTGACAACTCTATATATCACAATTCCAACATGATTGATCTGATTTGAAGTTGAAAATGATAGACTATATGTATAGCTTGGAAGTTTGTACACCACGGAAAAGCCTCTGAACTAAAATGAAATAGTTGTCCAATAACTTCCCAATTTCCAAATAGTATTATTTAATAGGTGATACAGATTATTTTCAGATTTTAATATCATTCATGAAGTATCAAAGTAAGCCTAGTTAAGGATAGCCTACTCATAAATAATTATAAGTAGTCTGATTATTTTTTCAGTAAAAAATGTTTATTTTATTAATTTCACCAAACTGAGTGGTTATATGGGGAATGGTTTTTGTCGGAAAGCATTGGTGACAAGTAAATGAAAACAAAAACATAATGACCAATTTATATCATTGGGATAAAGATTGTGTTCCATTAGAAACTAATTGTGACTAAAGATTATGGGTATCACTTGTGTTCTTTGCTCTGACAGTGTGATAGGATGATTATAATTCCATAGTTAATGAATTCCTAACTCAAGTGAAAGAACAGTCTGAGATTCATTAGTGACTTTCAATGATTATGTAGATGAAATCATATGGTATGGTTTACTTCCGGTATTTTACACTTTTTAAGTGATCATGTATTTTTAAAGAAAATTTTATTTTAAACTAAAGATATTTGTTTATCTTATACATACACTGAAGTTGAAAATATACCCGAGTAACTGTTAACAGTCAAACTATGTGAATTCGATGAAATCAATGTGGACATATTAGGTGAACACTATTGAGATGTTACCAAGCTAGAAGGAAAACAATTATGTATTTTACTACAAAATTTTCGATGACTTTCCTTTCAAGAAATTGTCATGGATCGACTTAAGTTAGACATTAACAACGTCGGATATCGGCCGGCTCAATAGTCTCCTCTGCCAAACCGAAGGTCCAGGGTTCCAGTCCTACTTGAGTGGTCGTGGATGTGCACTGTTAAGGTGTCCCATATTAGGACAAAACAGATGTCTGGTGCTTCCAGGTTTTCCATTGTGGTCTAGGCTAGATAGAATCGTGACTTCAACTATGAAAATACTACAGTCTGATAAGATCATTGTTATCAAAAGATTTATGCGTCTAACTTTATCTTGGATATTAACCTTGATTTGATTAACCACTTGTATAACATCATATTCCACACTTTTTTTAAAAATTATAAACAGTCAGTCAGTCAGCTACAACGTAGGACCAGGCACATATATGCATCGGTCCAAGTTGCTATACCTCATTAACACAACAAGATGGGCACTGGATTCATAAAAGTAGTTAATTCAGAGGTGGTAATATGTAAAAGAAAGATTGCAATAAGGATATAGTACAGGAAGAAAGAAGTAGTTGGTAGAAAGATAAATATGAAGCGATTTTAATCTCTTAGTTTAAGGGAAGACAGAGAGTGTATACACCAACGCCATTGTGATTGGTTCTGAGCCATGTCACACACAGTCTCCAACCAATGGTTACGATAGTCACTCGGACCCCAAGCAAGTAGTCTGCATCTACCAACATGGCTCAGACTAGAAGTTAGTGTCTTCAAGCGCTGATGCCACGTTTTTGTTTGGTCGTCCCTTAATTTCTTCCAACCATCCCGAACACCGGTTAGCATTGCACGTCGTGGTAATCGGTGTTCGGGCATACGTAACCCGTGGCCCAACCATCTCAGTCGATGAAGATTCACTTTTCATTCCATTCTTATTTATTGAATTTATCTAAAATCAATTGTTGTTTATACTGCATAATGACATAACTTATGTATAACATTCCATTTCTAAACTCGTATCATTATACTGAAGAGAAATTAATGATAAATCTAATTGACCTACAATGATTCTGTTTATGTTCATTTAATTGGATCTTTATATTGATTTATTAAAGAAATGACTTACACAACATTCAAGAATATCAAAACATCTAACCTTCTATTGATTAGGATATTATAAATTTATTTATTATAATTAATTCAATGGTCAATTCATCAGAACAGATCAAGTCAAACCTTAAATTGATCATACTGATAATTATGATTCTTGTTTAGATTAAGTACTTATTAGGAAAAGATGATGGAAATGAATAAGACATACATTACGCAAATCATCAAACTGCATCACGAGACAAGCCCTAACTTGGAATCCTGAATTGAAGTGGAAAAGAGGAAGGCCAAAGAACACATTAGAATCAGATATGAAAATGATGAATAACAACTGGAAACAACTGGAAAGGACTTCCCAGAACAGGTTTGGATGAAGAGTGCTGATGAGCGGTCTATGCTCCTTCATGAGGAGTAACCGGCGTAAGTAGGTTCTTATTATGTTTAGTAATGTTATAGTTAGATTACACATCTACTCACACACACACACACACGCATACATACACACATATATCCATACTTACTGATAGATGTTGAAATAGCCAAGCTCGCATAATATTTGTAGCAGCTTTAGGGAAAATACCACGTTTTTTCTGACGTTTTATTGATTTTTCTTCTAAATCGAATTCATCAAAATTTTCCCCCGATCCAATTGAGTTATCAATTCCATCACCTATAAAGGTATATGTTTGTTTATGTTTATAAAAAAAAGAAGAAAAGATGGAATGATGAAAAAAAAACAAAAAAACTAACAGTGGAATGTAATGCATATATTACCCATTGAACATGTTAGTAGTTGTCTGGATTGTGTAGTTTGGTAGGAGTTAAGATATTGACATTTAAAATGATAGTTACCGGATTAAAATCTTAAATCATAAGGAGAGAGTTAAAATAGATTGATGTTAAAAATAAATCTTTTGTCTTAACAGTTTCTGTTGCTAGGTATATGAACTATAAAGTACTCATTAAAAAGGTCAATATATAACTAATATCAAACAGTTGTCATATGAACTCCGCAATCATGACCTCAAGTCGACAAGATCACTATGAATCCAGTTTCTTTTTCAGATACCTCAAGAAATGATAGTCTCCTTCTACGTATTAGTATAAGTGTTTAAAATCTTGAAATTACAAAATAAATGGAATTGTACTATTGAAATAAACTTGTCAGTACTACTGTGGTGCGTGCTACTTATATTGATATAAGTAGTATATAACGCGAGTTAGGGATGTAATGTCTGGCAGCAGAAGATTGGGAACATTAAGAAAGAAAGAACGGGAATAGAAAGCAATTAGTATAGAAATGCATGAACAATGAAGTTCGAGAAAATTGTTGAACATTTTGCAAATTAAGTGTTATAGTAGGGTTTTTCTATTTTACCAAGTAACTCTAGTGTTATGCCAAGTATAATTCAGTTGTCCCAACCTGTGTTCTCCTTCACTACACTACTACCTCATAAACAACAACTACTCAATAGTATTCCCAGAAGAATTACCATGAACTAATAAAAATAAAATATCTCTGCAAGTATTTATCTGTTTATTGGACGTTATTATATACATGAGGAAGAACGCAGTAAATGTTACTTTTATTTTATTTAAAAAAAGAAATGTACAAAACATACAATCAGATAAATAACATTTCAACATACCCGCTTCACTGTTCATATCTTGACTGGCATTACCATGACTACGAGACATTGGTGTATTGGACTGAGATAAATTTTGTGACATGTGATTGAGTGAATGTGGATGATGATTATGAGTTTGGCGAACCAAACTATGATCAGCAATATGTTGAGTGTTGGAAATTGTTGTACCAGAAGCAGTACGTCCACCCCCACCAGAATTGTCAGATGACCGTCCACGGTCACCACCACCACCACCGCCGCCGCTGCCATCCCCACCACCTCCTCCATTTCCATCACAACCTCCACCACCACTACCACGATTGTTGGAGTTTCCACACCCAGATGCTCCATTACGGTGACATGTATTTCCACCGCCATTAGGACTAGTCCGATCATCTGCATCCGGTGACCGCCGACTTCCAACACTTCCAAGTAAAGGGGAAGAATTCTAAATTGTTTTTAGATAGACAAAAAAAGCAGGCGGAAGTATGAATGTAGCATTACATATATTGTTTTGTTGTTATCGTTAATAGTATTGTTGTCATTATTCTGAGTATTACCATAAATCACAAAAAAAAACTAATCAAATTAAAGATCAAAGCGAATGATAATCAGATATATATATATTGTCGGGCTATGTGAACAGACGTCAATGGACATACATAAATATATGTATGTATAAAAACATTGTAAAAAAAGAAACGGAGAGAGAATACGTGCTGCTGTCCATACTCTGATTATCAAATGTCCCCATATATACATACATATATATGTATGTTTTATACATATATCTACATAGGAAAGAATATAGTCTATATAGATATTCTAGTTTTATGCTTAATAATAATGGTAATAATAATTTCCAAAATGACAATTGTCAAAATCATTAGAATAAAAGAACTTTAGGAAAAGCGAGTTTTAAAACAATATTCATTTCCTGATTTTGTCAAAAATCGCTTTATATACTGTTGGTATTTATAATGGTTCATAGGGTATATGTATGTAGTGTGTGGTATTGTGTATGTATTTGCTACATATATACATAGTTTGCGCATGTATGTAGTATATTGCCCTATATAATATATATATATATATATGTGTGTGTGCGTGTGTGTGTGTGGATACGAAACTATATGAACTATCACTGAGTGTATGTGCATTTACATATACACATACACATGTAAACATACATCGCTGTCAAAACAAGAAATGAGAAATGGAGACAGTAGGGAAAAAAAGTAAAGATTAAAGGAGGAATGACAAACAATGGAAGGAATCTAGAATGACAATAATAATAAAGGATGGTAGCCTAGTAGCAATGATAATATCGACCGAAAACAACGATCAGCAATTTGTATACACTATACCATTGACAAAAAATGTGTACAGGAAATGTAGATGAAACATTTTATTGGTATATTAGTTATAAATAAATTTCATCTACTGAATAAAGTAATCGAACGGTTAGTAATTATAATCCAATATATTGGTAAAGGATACACTATTAACATATTTGCTTTATGCATTGAAATTAAGACAAATAGTTTAGAATATTTAATTGTCAAATTTGAATACTACTACTACTACTACTACTACTACTACTACTACTACTACTACTACTACCGTGGTGTATACTACTTATGTTGACAGATATAAGTAGTGTGATGTACTAATCGAAAGAAGAATGCCGGCCAATAGAAGATTCAGAGAGATCGAATTGAAGGAAACAAAGAGCAACTGTAATAACAACAGAATTGAAATAAATAAAATACAGTTGAAGGAAGGCGTCCACATAATGTACTTAACGTATGATTTTCCTATTTAACGAAGGCACCCTGTAATTTTGAGTCAACGAATAAGTTGGTTTCCTCCACCTGAATTCTCGTTCACCAGACTACAATTACTACTTATTTGCATCGATCGGTGTATAGTTACCAAACGTATGTTTGCTTCCCTCCTCCAGGTTTTGTTAATGAAATATTATTGGTCAAGTTACAATGTGGCTATTCGTTTAAGTGACTCGATACCACATTCATCATGTTGGGATGCAAGGGTGTTAGCATTAGTCAACAGGAAACCCTAGACCTAAATATAGACATTGAAGAGAGCATCAATTGTCTCTTACTAGTAAATATTAACCAGAGTGAAACTCAGGTATAGTGTTGTCTGTCAACTATCGCCAAACACTACTAATAATTAATAATGAAAATAGTAGTATTATAAGCAAATATTAGTAAAGCTATTATTCTATTACTTCAAATGCTAAAATATATTTAGATGATGTTTTTGTCAGTCGATATTGCGGTTTGTAAAGCTAAATAACCTACATTTCCTCAATAGCAATCATGAATAACCATTTACAGCTTTAACGAAGAACAGAATAATAAATGATTATACTATCAACTGAATTACTGTTTTGTCTAAAAAGAAAATGAAATTGTTTCGAATAACAGAACACAAAATAGTCGCTAGTTGTACTCCAAACTGATAAGAGTCAAACAGCTATAAACTCAAATTAAAGAAAATATACCAATGTAATATTCTTTACAGTATGTGGATTTGTGGAGATTGTAGTATTTTCACAATTGAAGTCAGGAATCTATCTAAACCTAGAAGTATTGACGGCCGTTTAGTCTTAGAATGGAATTCCTTAGCGGTGCGCATCTACGACGCCGCTCATGGACCTCGAACCCAGGACGTTCAGTCTGGCGCACAGATGCTTAACCTATAAACCACTGAGCCAATATCCGTGTTGATGTGCAACTTCGATCGATCCATGATCTTGCGCAACCTTTCATCCCTTGTCTGAATTCAATAACTGTCTCACACCCGACACGGAATGAACATCATTGGTCATGGTTTTTTACTAGAACTCCAGGAAATTCACATCCTGTGTATCTCAGGTGGATGATTTCGATGGAGTTTTGTTCTCTGAGTTAGATGGTTTGGTCGTGGAGATAAATGACGGAAAGAAACAACAATTCCCTTGGTATATACGTAGATATAGTATACATTAGTTAAAAAGTAGCTTAATCTTACTATATACGAAGTGATTAGCATTACATAATTTCTATAGATCGGTCTGTTAAAAGAGAAACTAACTAGGATGGGATCAATCATTGTATGCTATTTATTTATTTTGAAAATAAAAAAGGTGGATGATTTTGGTGGTTTTGTTCTCTGAAAATTATGCACAAAAATAGGGACAAAAATCAAACCAATGAGAGACACAACCAAAACAAATGAGTAAACAATGACAGGTTTAAGGTCAACAAGAATCAATCAACATCGAGGTGTACAGCACAAGCTGTGAACCATATGTGGAGAAATTTGAACTCTTCACTTCTATCTGAGGTTTGTGCTGCTGATGATGTTGTTCAGAAGAACGATGAAAGACCCACGACCAAACCATTCAGCTCAGAGAACAAAACTCCATCAAAAACATAAAGACTTCATAAATTGTGGTTATATTTTAACAACATCTAACTTTTTCAAACCATACTTCTTACTCAAGCGATATATCTTAAGAACCACTGTCAATCCTAGCTTTTAACCTCACCAATAGGTTTATCCATTCACTTACTCCTTCTGTTACTATAACTAATACTACTACTACTGATGAAAAAATCTACAATCATTTATTCAAAAAACGGTTAACCTAAATTATATTCCCGAACCAATCAAGATAAAGTAGTCGACTTCACAGTCATACTGTAAATATCAAAATAGAGTTGAAAATCACAATTAGAAATAAATGTCAGGATTCTTATCATAGATTAACATAAACTATTATGCAATAATTTTAAAATCTTTATACTAATCCCAAGTCCTAGCAATAACAAATCCTTTGTTTTTGATTGAGATCATGGTCCGATTGATGTTAGACCACCACAATTGAAAATCTGGAAGCACTGAACGGCCGTTTCGTCCTATTGTGGGACTCCTCAGCAGTGCACATCCACGATCCCGCTCGCGGGATCTTTCACAAAGTGTTTCCTTCCATTTACTTTCTTCAAAATGAACTCATAATGATTATCATTATAGACGTTAATACCATTGTGTGCCGGCTCAGTAGTCCAGTAGGTTAGACATTCGCGCGCGAGACTGAGGGCTCTGGGTTCGAATCCCGCGATCGGGATTGTGGATGCGCACTGCTGAGGAGTCCCACAATGGGACGAAACGGCCGTCCAATGCCTCCAGGTTTTTAATGGTGGCCTAACATCAATTGGTTCATGATCTCAATCAAAAATTTAATAATCTCCACAACCCCTATACTAGAAATCCTTCGTTTATCTTTCTTAACTTCAAATTGGCTAAAATAATCTAAGCGGTCAAGATCATTCAGTAGTTTACTTTAGGTTGACCAAAATTATCCCATGAAGTAATTTTTTCCGAGAAATTCATCATAGATTTTTTTCTCTTCACTTCTTTCTTCAAGTATCTTATTGTTTGAAAGATGACAAACGTGAATCGTAAGAAAGTAGATAAAATATTTATCATTATGAATTATTGCCTAAGGCAAACAAAATAGGTGTTTTGTTTGTGTTCTTCATGTTTGCCCTACCTAACTGTATACAGTAAACATTGTATATATACAAATAGCTCAAATCATCAATTAATCAAGTACTACTTGTTTTTATACATCATGAGTAGTATTTAAAGTAGTAATAATGTGGACAGTACTATTACTACTACTACAAGTAGTATAAGTCAGCTATTGTCAAGTATTTTCCAAATTAAATAATAATAATAACAATAATGGAACTTTCAAACTAAATAAAATAATTCGTTGAGTTAACTTTCAACTTCACTCTTACTGAACTCTAAATTGTATCTCATATTCTCTTAGTTTACTTCTGAGCACTTATTATAACTGTAATTCACTTTATATACCCCCGCCCCCGGCTCATTCACGTCTATTTATTATTATTATTATATATTCTATGAATACATTACAATATAAATAGACGCACATAAGTAAATGAATAATTAATTCAAGTAAAATGGGGGAGGGGGAAAAATCGATTTCGAGTCATTATTATTAATGTTTTGATTGTTTCTGCTCAGTTTTTTTTCTCTTTTCAATTCTGTCAAAAACACTCCCATACGCTTCATTGCTTGATAATTAAATTCAATAGAGAATGGGATAAGAAAACTCATTCATTCACTCACTCAGTCACTACGAAACAAAATAACTCAAGAGAAAACACATTAAAAATAAACAAAACAGAAAGAAAGAAGAAACGGATTGGGTGAAAGTGAACTTAGTGTACCGCTAACTCTATAGCACGTATTAAAGTATATAAGATGTATGTTCGTGTATGCACGAACATACATTTAATGTATAGTGAATGGTGTTTGGAATGAACAAGAAAGAAAGACATCGAGCGAGCAAGAGGGAGAGAGAGAGAGAGAATGAAAGAGCTAAAAAAAAGATGATCGAGAATA